AGAACACTGTGACCCCATTCCGGGCCGCATTCCCGTATCCTGCTCCCCAGCGCCGTCCGCCTCCGCTCGGATCCGGGGCTCCCATTGGCGCATCCGCTCTGTCCCCCTGCATGCACCGTCTGGGAGCGATCGGAGCGCCAGGATGGGGCCGGCAACGCCGCCCCGGCCGCCTCCGGAGCCTCCCGGACGTGTCGGGGGAATTCGGGYGCCCTTGGAGTCCCCGGGGTCCCCTCCGATCCGCCGGGATGCCGCGGGGATGGATCCCGGAGACCTGGCCCCGGGGGGCGGATTTTGCCGCGGTGCCGCCGCAGTTGGGAAAGCTGGAGGCTCCCGGCGCCGCTTTGCCGGATGCCGATCCCAGTGCCGCAGCTCGGGATGCTGCTCCGCGCCGGAGAGGAGGGAGATTCACGGAGCCGCAGTGTTGGATCCCCCCCTCCGGCACCAAAATGCATGGAAAGCAGGGACGGGGGGTGGCTCCGGGGGTGGCTCCCTGCATCCCGGTGCTGCTCCGGAGGCTCCGCTGCTGCCGCCGGGTAAAACAAGGACAGCGGCGGCTCCGGCTGGGCTGTGCCGGGCGGGATGCGGCACGGCGGGCGGGGGGGGTGCATTCCGGCCCCCATGCTCCCCGGAATTCCCAGTTCTGCCTGCGGCGGGGACGGGTCCAGTCCCTCCCGATCCCTGCGGATCGGGAGCTGCCAGCGCGACCCTTCCCGCATCGGCCCCCCCGCGCTCGGGAAGGGGCCGGGGAGCGGSCGCGGCTCCGTTATGGGGAGCTCCGGGCCACACCGGAGCGGCCCTCGGAGAGCGGGAGAGCTCCAGTGCCCTGGAGCTGCGCCGTGCCGGAGAGCCGGGATGTGTTGGATAGGGAAGATGTGCCAGATAGTGGAGCCGTGCCGGATAGTGGAGCCGTGCCGGATAGTGGAGCCGTGCCGGATAGCAGAGCCGTGTTGGATAACCAAGCCGTGCCGGATAACCGAGATGTGCCGGATAGCGGAGTTGTGCCGGATAGCGGAGTTGTGCCAGATAGGTGAGCTGTGCTGGATAACCGAGCCGTGCCGGGTAGTGGAGCCGTGCCGGATAACCAAGCTGGATAGCCAGAGATCCGCGCTGTGCCGGAGAGCCGAGTGGTGCCAGTTAGGCGGATCACGGAGCCGGAGAGCTGAGCTGGAGAGCAGAGCTGTGCCAGCGGGCTGTGCCAGAGAGCCGGGCTGTGCTGGACAGCCAGGGAATGCGGGATAACCAAGAAATGTGGGATAACCGAGACATGCGGGATAACCGAGACATGCAGGACAGCCAGGGAATGCGGGATAACCGAGCCGTGCTGGATAGCCAGGGAATGCGGGATAACCGAGAAATGTGGGATAACCGAGACATGATGGACAGCCAGGGAATGCGGGATAACTGAGAAATGTGGGATAACCGAGCCGTGCCGGGTAGTGGAGCCGTGCCGGATAACCAAGCTGGATAGCCAGAGATCCGCGCTGTGCCGGAGAGCCGAGTGGTGCCAGTTAGGCGGATCACGGAGCCGGAGAGCTGAGCTGGAGAGCAGAGCTGTATAACCGAGACATGCGGGATAACCGAGACATGCAGGACAGCCAGGGAATGCGGGATAACCGAGCCGTGCTGGATAGCCAGGGAATGCGGGATAACCGAGAAATGTGGGATAACCGAGACATGATGGACAGCCAGGGAATGCGGGATAACTGAGAAATGTGGGATAACCGAGCCGCGGAGCGGTGCCAGAGAGCCAAGGCAGAGAGCCAGGGCCTGCCGGGATACCGGAGCTGTGCCGGAGAGCCGCGCCGTGCCGCATGCTCGAGCCATGCCAGAGAGCCCGGGAATGCTGGAGAGCCGGAGAGCTGAGGGGAGCCGGAGAACCGAGCCATCCAGGATAGCCGAGCTGTGCCGGATAGACAAGGAGTGTGGATAACTGGATAGCCGAGCCATCCGGGATAGCCGAGCTGTGCCAGACAGCCGGGGAATGCTGGAAAGCCGGAGAGCCGAGCGGTGCTGGATAGCCAAGGAGTGTGGATAGCCGGATAGCCAAGGAGTGTGGATAGCCCGATAGCCAGGCCATCCGGGATAGCCGAGCCGGGTGGCGCAGGCATTCGGAATAGACGAGCCATGTGGGATAGCCGAGGAATGCCGGACAACTGAACTGTGCCGGGCGGTAGCCAAGGGAATCCTGCACAAAGCGCTCCGGGTGCCGGGATGCCGGATGCTGGTGCCGATGCCGGCGCATCCTGGCAGCTCCCGGAGCGGAGCCGGGCTCATTCCCGCCRCGGTGGTGGCCAAAGTGCTGGATTCAGCCCCAAAATGGCCATATCCCGGGGGGAGGGTTTCCACAGGGATCCCGGGAGCCCATTCCCGCCCGGTCCCGCCGCTCCCGGGTGCAGCCCAGACACCTGGGCCCCCCCGACCCTCCCTTCCGCACCTCGCTTTGCCCTCGGGAACGGGCGGGATGGGCAGGATGGATCGGGATGCTTCCTTGACGCCGGCGCACTCCCTTCGAGTACATGATCCTGGCCACCATCATCGCCAACTGCATCGTGCTGGCGCTGGAGCAGCACCTGCCCGACGAGGACAAGACGCCCATGTCGGAGCGGCTGGTGAGCGCGCGGCGCCGGGGGGGCGCGGGGACGCGGCGCCAGCCTCACGTGCCCCCCGCCGCGTGTCCCCGTGCCCCCAGGACGACACGGAGCCCTACTTCATCGGCATCTTCTGCTTCGAGGCCGGCATCAAGATCATCGCGCTGGGCTTCGCCTTCCACAAGGGCTCCTACCTGCGCAACGGCTGGAACGTCATGGACTTCGTGGTGGTGCTCACGGGGTGAGCGGGCCCCGGCGTCCGGGCGCGCGGGGAAGCGCGGGGCTCTCGGCAGGGCGGGCGCGGGCTGCTCACACGTGCACGGTGCAAAGGAGCCTGCGAGCTCCGTGCGCGTGCAAGCTCGGGGCGCGTGCAAGCTTGGTGCAAGTGCAAGTTTGGTGCAGGCACAAGCTCAGTGCATGTGCAAGCTCTGTGCAAGTGCAAGCTCGGTGCACACGCAAGCTTGGTGCAAGTGCAAGTTTGGTGCAGGCACAAGCTCAGTGCAAGTGCAAGCTCTGTGCACACGCAAGCTTGGTGCAAGTGCAAGTTTGGTGCAGGCACGAGCTCTGTGCAAGCACAAGCTCTGTGCAAGCGCAAGCTCGGTGCACGTGAAAGCTTGGTGCGCGTGCAAGCTTGATGCACGTGTAAGTTCAGTGCACGTGCAAGCTCAGTGCACATGCAAGCTCAGTGCAAGTGCAAGCTCAGTGCATGCACAAGCTCCGTGCACACATGCGTGCATGCCTTAGCCAGCCATGCTTGCGTGGGTGCAATGGGGCCGCATGCATATCTGCAAACTCGGTGCAGGTGCAAGCTCCGTGCACGTGCATGCCTGCGAGCACACTCACACCTATGTGTGCCCGCTGCGGGTGCAAACTCGGTGCACGTGCACACTTGTGCCTTGTGCACGTGCACGCTCGTGCACACACACGTGTGCGCCTTGGCAAGCCATGCAGGGGCCACRCTCGCTCGCATGGCTGCAACGGAGCCACGTGCGTATCTGCAAGCTCAGCATACGCACTAACTTGGCGTGCACGCAAACTCGCTGCAGATGCAAGCTCGGCGCACACGCAATCCGGATGCACTGGCAAGCTCAGTGCCCATGCAAGCTCGGCGCACACGCAATCCGGATCACTTGCAAGCTCAGTGCCCATGCAAGCTCGGCGCACACGCAATCCGGATCACTTGCAAGCTCAGTGCCCATGCAAGCTCGGCGCACACGCAATCTGGATCACTTGCAAGCTCAGTGCCCATGCAAGCTCGGCGCACACGCAATCCGGATCACTTGCAAGCTCAGTGCCCATGCAAGCTCGGCGCACACGCAATCYGGATCACTTGCAAGCTCAGTGCCCATGCAAGCTCGGCGCACACGCAATCYGGATCACTTGCAAGCTCAGTGCCCATGCAAGCTCGGCGCACACGCAATCCGGATCACTTGCAAGCTCAGTGCCCATGCAAGCTCGGTGCCCATGCAAGCTTGGCGCCCATGCACATGCATGCCCCAAAGCTCTCTTGCACCCACGTGTGCCTGAGGGTTTGGGGCCCGCTCCTCCCATTCGCAGCAGCCCCGTGCCAGCCGGGGCGCTGGCACCCCTCTCTGCAGCTCGCGCCGGCGCTAATTGCCGCTTTGCCGTCCCGCTCCCCGGGCTCCGTCTCTCGGCGCTGTCACAATATTTGCCTGCTCCACGGTGCCACCCGCCTTCGGCTCCGCAGCCCGGCGGGAGCTCCCGGGATTCGGCTCCTCCGCGTGTCCTGCGCCGGGCACCCCGCTTGCCCGTGCCCTGCACCTTTAGGGGTGCTGCTGCTGGCCCCCAGCACCTTGTGACGCGCTTGGGGCACCCTGCTGCACCCAGTGCATGAGCACTGAGCGCTTTGCGCCGTGTCCCCTGCACCCTGCGTGTTGCACCTTGCACCCCTTGCATTGCACCCTGCACCCTGCTCACTGCACCCCTTTTATTACACCCTGCACCCCGTGCATTGCACCCTGCACCCTGCACCCTGCTCATTGCACCCCTTTTACTACACCCTGCACCCTATACATTGCACCCTGCACCCTGCTCATTGCACCCCTTTTATTACACCCTGCACCCTGTGCATTGCACCCTGCACCCTGCTCATTGCACCCCTTTTATTACACCCTGCACCCCGTGCATTGCACCCTGTTAATTGCACCCTGCACCCCGGCTGTTGCACCCTGCGCCCCATTCGTTGCACCCCATGCGTTGCACCCTGCCATGCACCCCGTTCATTGCGTCCTGCACCCSATGCGCTGCGCCCTGTGCTCCGCACCCTTCCCCTTGCACCCCACAGCCAGCACCCCGTGTCTCCCATGGGTGCCCCCATTGTGTGGGGTGGGGGGGTGGAGGAGCTGCCCCCCCCCTCCACTCGGCTTCTCCCGGGGTGTAGATTGTATCAATGAGCCGGGCTGTTGCCACGGCAACGGGCATGAATGAACACCGAGGGTAACCGTGGCGACTGTGAATGGGAAGGCCAGTTGCCACGGCAACCGCGGGATGGGAAGGGACCCTCCGGTCGGTGCAGGCGCCGCTGGACGCCTGGGCCCCCCTCCTCTGTGGTGCCAGGGCCCGCGGATGCGGGATCGGGACGGGACACGGTGGCACTTGGGGACACTGGGACGCGGTGGCGCTTGGGGACCGCGCTGGGACACGGTGGCGCTTGGGGACCGCGCTGGGACACGGTGGCCTGTGGGGGTGCATGGCCAGGCGGGGGTGTGGGGGTCCCCACAGGGGACATGTGGCTGGATAGGGC